TTTTAGTGGCAGACAGACAATGTGATATCTGATTCTGACAAATACAGAAACTTTTACAGTTCTGTAGAATAATATTTGTTTCTTACACTGTGTATTTTAACACATGTAATGGCTTTGTCAATAAATTGGACATTTAAAAGGTAAAGTTGATTTAGTCCAACCTGTATCTCAAACAAACAGTGAAACCAGGTCAGTCCATAGATCCGGATCAAATAATCCAGATCAAATAATCCAGATAAGAGATGTGATGAATTTGCAAAAGGAACTGTTGCATCTACAAATTTCTGGGTCAAGGACAAACTGTTTGTCTGTAGTTTTAAGATCGTTCGTGTTGGCTCAGATATACTTTAGATTAAATTAGATCTTTATTCATTTCTACACCGAAGCTCAGCTTTATCTTAACTACACACATCTGTGCTGTACGATAAATTCTCATTTCCACTGATACCTGATGACCAGGCCTTTGCTGTTAAAAACCCCCAAACTATGGAACAGTTCATCTTCTGAAATCTTTTCTCTAAAGATCTAAAACTCTTCTGAAAAGATTTATCAGAAAGCTTTTATTCATGTTGTACTTAATGTTTAATCTGCATGTGACTAAATTTCATTCCCCTGTTTTACCGTTTGTTTCTCTGTTGTTTAATTGACATTTTTAATTCATTGTTCTTCTCATCTTTGAGCCTCTCGTGACTTTGTTAAGTTAATCAAAGGTGCTATATAAATAAAGTTTGTTATAAAATGACTAACGCCTTCCTTACATTTTAATCTGATGGCTGTTTTATACCATTTAATCTTTGTGTTGTGTTTTAAGCAGGAAGGTTCGTTAAGTCAGACTAATTCTCACCTAATCCATATTTGTCAGAGTAGTCGACCCATTTGCTGATCCAGAAGATCGGGATACAGGCCGGATCCTCTGCCTCTTCTGTAAACACATGAACAGAACAAATCTTTGTTGACGCCGGCAAAATAAAAGATCGTACAAACCAATAAAATGTGCAACATGGAAACAAGTGTTTGAGCGTGAAAATGAAGCGCCTGCACTCACCTTGGCGTATGATCGCCTTTTCAGAGGGTTTGGCGGCGATGATGCTGTTGAGCTGCTGCAGCAGGTCTTTCAGGTGGCACTCTGCTGTCGGCTCAGGCTCCCTACACACAAATAGAAACGTTCAGTATCTTCACAAAACTCTGGCTCCATAACTGTGGTAGAAAATCTCACGTAACTGGTAACAACCATGAAGCAATGTGACAGAAACAAAAACCTAATTCTTGAACGAGGACGATGTGGAGAGTGAAGCTCTGAGTTCAAGTTTCTTTACAACCGTTTACATTTTTTATTTAAACCGTAGTTGAATAAAACTCCATCCAATAAACCAAACATCTGACTGAAGCTCGACACATTGAGCGTGAGCACATTCATCTGTTGGACAAACATCTCTCACCGTTGCAGGGGCTCGTCTTTAGCTTCCATCTTCTCCGACCCGGCTGAAAAGAGAAAGAAAAACGATTTAAACATCCAGATCTTAAAAATGTGATCCTCGTACATTAAGACATTATTAAGGAGATTCAACAACCTTTACATTTCAACGTGTTTAATCTGTGGACAACTTTGGTGATTGGTGGTCGACCGTGTGCTGTTGTGTCTTTACCTTTGTTGTTAATGGCCGTCAGGGGGCGTCTCTGGCTGAGCTCCATCGCTGTGGAGGGTGCGATGGAAAACCGTGGGGGAACGGTGAGGCAAGTCGTGGGCAGACGTGAGGGAACGTAGCCGGACGTGAAGAACTCGTCCGCTTGCACCTCAGCGACGGTTGGCCTCTGGGTGGGATCGGCGTGCAGCATCCGCTTGATGAGTGCAGATGCGGCCGGGTTGATGTGCTGCGAGAGAGAATTCAGGTTTTATATGCACATTATATTTTGAAGGAACAGTGAAATAGACTGCATCAATCAGTGCAGCTTACCCAGGGGATGGTGTAGTTGTTTTTCTTGATGCGGTTGTAGGTCTCCTTCAGACAGGATGTCTCGAATGGGGGTTTACCCACCAACAACGTGTACCTGAGAGAATACAAAGAGGGGGAGGTTGAATGGACGGGGCTGAATCATGTGGAGAATTGCTGCTGTCCCTCGTGTGAATTCATTTTCAAACTTACAATATACATCCCAGCGACCAGATGTCCACTTCGTAGCTGTGGCCTTTCTTACAGAGCACTTCTGGTGCGATGTAGTTGGGCGTTCCGCACAAGGTCTTCTTCCTCTCGCCATCAAACTCGATCTTAGTGGCCAGGCCGAAGTCCCCTGAAGAAGAGAGAAGCAGATAAAGAAGTGTTTAGTTTCCGTGTCTCCAGGAGACATTCATGTTGTTTGTGTTTAATACATGTCGTCACCGGTCAGTGGAAACTATCATCCAGGAAGTAGTAAATGTGGATTGTGAAGGCTGGGTGTGTCCATATTGTTTATTACTCAGCTCAGGTATGTTACATGGCATGTTTGTGAGTGTTGTCGTCCCTGGTATTTGTCACCGTCACCCCCTAATTAATCTCAGAATTGGAGCCAAGTTTCAACCTCGGCAGATCCAACAGTGAAACGTACCTATCTTGACCTCCATGTCATCGTTGAGGAAGATGTTGCCCAGCTTCAGGTCTCTGTGGATCACTCTGTTGTTGTGCAGGTAGTGGACGCCTTTGAGCATCTGCGTCATGTAGTAGCGAACTTCCGGCTCGGTCACGGCCTTACGGCGCTTGTGCAGCTCCAACAAGGACTGATGTGGAAAAAGGAAGCTGTTAGGATTAGCAGGGATATCATCAAGGCAATGGAGGACTTTTTTAAGATTGACCTTAAAGGGTTAGTTCATGCAAAAATGTAATTCACTCATAATCCACTCGCTGCTATAGTTGCAATAGTATTGGATTTGGCTTCAACACTGTTTACCCCTGAAACTCCTGAAGTGTTTTGTGGACTTCACCCAGTGAGTAGATAATGAGTGAATTTTCTTTTTTTGGTGAACTATTCATATTAAAGCCACTGTGACATAATAGAAAATGGGGGTTATGGTGAAATACTCTGATTCAAAACCGATTGATTGATTGATTGACTGATTGGGTGACTATTAAAAAAAAAAAAACCTGAAAAAGTCGATAACAATGAATTATTGTCTCTAAAGGTCCAATTAAAAGACACATGCAAGATTTTAAAACATTCCACGTCATTGATTCACGGTGTTTTCTGTGATTTCCGCTGCCTCCACTGGGGCAAGGGGAGGACAACGGAAGACACCAGGCTGACAACGGTCGGACCAGGGTGTGCACCGGAGAGAGGAAGGCCCCTCTCCCCCTCACCCTCCGCAGACACTCACCCTTCTCCTGCAGATCTCCAGCACCACAAACACGAAGTCCTCGTTCTCGAAGAAGCCCTGGAAGCCCACGATGTTCGAGTGGTTCAGGCTCTTGTGAATGGCGATCTCCGACGTCATCTTCTCCCGCTGGTGCTGCTTCAGGATCAGGGACTTGGGCACGATCTTCCCGGCGAAGACCTGCTGGGTCTCCACGTCCGTGATCTCGTAGCATTTGGCGAACCCACCTTTACCGAGGAAGCGCCCCCGCGTGTACCTCCTCATGGTGCGAGGGTCCACCAGGACATCGGGGATTTCTTTGAGAGGGGCCGATTTCGGATCGACGTGCACCGACGGATTCGCCGGCTTTGCTACACCCGCGCTCATTTTTTTTGGACTAAACTTCCCTTCGGCGTCTTTAAAAAGCAAGAAAATAAAACTCGACAGCGGTTTAAAAGTCGATATCCGCTCGAATCGTTGTTGGTTTGAGTCCTGGAAGCTCGTTAGCTCCCGTGAGCCGCTAAATTCAAATCAAAACCACCTTCAAACGCGGTCGTTACTCAAACAGCAGCTTCGGCATCGAACATGTGACGAATCTTGGTTTAAAAACCTGAGTTTGGCGGTGGGTTTGATCGCAGGCTTCGTCCCTCGGTGGCCGCGGCGTCTCCTCGTCCCGTCTTTTGACAACAGGCTCCGGGACAAGTTTAAAATGCTGCCTCGCTCGTTGCGGCGCGCTCTGATTGGTCCGCGAGATTTGAATTCCAAGGCGGCGCAGCAAAGCATCGTGGGAAGTTCGGCGCAAAACTGGCCAATCGCGGACCGCGGTGGGAGAACCCCGCGACGTGATTGGTCGGGCGTCGGTCGCTGGTGGCGTCGCTTGGTGCCTGACGGGAAATGTAGTTCTACTGGGTTTTAATCAGCGCAGACATGCTGAGAGTTGATGTTGACGGTTTAGTCAGGGGCCATTTAATTGTTTTTACTTTCAATTTCTTCTTGAGGAACATCCTCGATGTTGAATCCTCACTGGAAATGACACATTTGACAATATTGTTGTAGTGTCTTTCTGTTTTATTGTGAAATATTTGTAAGCTTTAAGGTCAGATGATATCATTTCCGTTTTTTGTATAACCCTTTTATTTTTGAAAGTGAAGTTCTGGTAGAGGGCGCGGACTTCCTGTTATGAATCTGTAATTCAAAGGGAAAGTTTTAGCGACCCTCCGAAGAGGCACAAGCTCTTACTGTGTTGTTTCGGGAATAGGTGTCACGGTTATGGTTTTATTTGGTCATGGTTATGGTGTTTTCTGTCACTGGTATTGTATTCTGTCACATTATGGTGTATTTTGTCACGGTTATGTATTTTTCTACGTTCCTCTCATGTTCCCTCCTGTGTTCCTCTCATGTTCCCTTCTGCCTTCCTCTGTGCTCCACCCTGTGCTTCTCCTGTGTTGTTCTCTGTGTCCCTCTCCTG